TAAATATTTTTATACATCAAGTGTAGTCACATCAATGTAAATACCACTTTAGTCTGATGAAGTCCTAAATGATGAAACCTGTCGCACAAGAACTTTTTCCACTGATAGTTTTCCCATATATTGTGGATATCAAAATCAACATTAAGTGTTTTGGTGTGGACTTCAGTATCTTATATTGACATACACACTGATATTGAATGCTTTTATACATAAATAGAGCATACTTTAAAACTATATATATGAGAGAGAGAGGAAGGCAAAGAAACCTCCTAGTATGGCATTAGTGTCTTCCTCTAAAATTGAATTTCAATTTTACAACCAAGCCTCCTTACGAGTGGATGTAATCTCTACTAGGAGTAGGGAGAATATAAATGACCGTTTTATATAAGCAAGGTTCTAACTGCGTGAAAAAAAAAAAAAAAAAACAAAAAAAACATTCAGAATTTTTTTTTTTTTTTTGAAGGGTAAGGGAGGACATTCTAGAACGCTCGAGCCAATGTTATCTCCCCTTTGTTCAGAGACACTAAAACATGGCCGGCCGATAAATTGATCAAAATGACTTTAAAAATGAAATGCTGAAATGTAAGTAATTCAATTTCTTACATAATTTATTTTATTAGACAAAAAAATCTTTATTTACTAACTTATTTCAAGGGAATCACTGGAGACGAAATGTTATAAGCACGAGTGAAAAACCTTTCGTATTTTTCTTATTTTTAGATTGATAAAGTTCGACGTGAAACTTTGCTATTTTTATATTTTACTCCATTTGTTTATAATAGTCATTTTTTAACGGTATTTGAATATTGCAACCTTTTAGTTAAAACACTAAAAGCATCTATTAATAAGTCTTTCACGATTTTAAAATTTAAAAATATAGCAAAAATGCTGTTACTGTTCGCAAAACAGCAAAAAAAAAAAAAAAAAAAAAATTGTAAAGTGTTTTTAAATTTATTTAAATTTTAAAATTACAAATAAAATTTAAGGTTAAGCTAACTGAAGTTTAATAAAATATTACTTAAAAATAAAAAAATGACTAAAGATACCGCGCGCAACAACAAACAACCAAAAACAAGTAAAAAACAAGTAAAAAAAAAAAAAAAAAAAAAGTTTATTTGTCGTGTTCACTTCAAGGTTTCATGTACTTTTAAGGATCATTACTTAACTAATGTCTATAACTCTATATGCTAGGAAGTTGAAATTATCAGCTCAAGCCCCAGGGTACCATCAATACTGGCTGTATCTCTTTTGGGAAGAGGCTGCTGGGGTCATTACCCGGCGCCTGAGTCGTCCCTAAAAGACAAGTGCCGAGGGGGCTTGAGCAATTTTTGTACAGCTTTCCGGAAATCCTACATTAAAGTCCGACCTTGTGTCACATTCTTTCGCGACGTGGGCGAGTGGAAATACCTTTCTATTTTTAATTATATAATTGAATGTAAATTTTGAAAATTATAATATAATCATTAACGCAAATCTAATGGGGGGGGGCAAACATTCATTTAACAACCAAAGCAACATTTTACTTTTAAACCAGATTGTTTGATTTTGAGTTTTGACCAAGTACTTTTTAACTTACTTGAGTATTATTATATTTTAATTTGATTATTGCAGAATACAATAAGTTTTTTTTTTTTATATAATTTTTAACTACCCAGTAATATTAAAAATTTAGTAAAATATTCTTTGTAATCTAATGTTCTATAGAATTTTAGGTACTTTGGCTTTAAATTTACTATAGTTATTGCTCTTATTTTTTGATGTCATGTACAGATGTCTACAAAAAACACAAAAAAATTCAAAATTCTTAAAATATTGGTAAGATTGCTGAATTGTAAGCTCTTCCATTTTTATGATTAGTAAATATAGCTTTTACTTAATATCACCTAAACAGTACAAATACAGAAATTTAAGATTTAAAACTTTATAAATCATTATAATTAAAGTTTTAAAAAAAATTAAAACTCTTGTAAAAATTCATTATCAAAAAAAATTTGAGACAATAGTGTCCACAATATATCTTATTCATAAAAGTAATTAAGTTTTAATTCAATGTCTTAGTTTTATTGCATTTTTTATTTTACAATTCAGAGCAGATTTTTGGTAACTGACAAAAAATTGATTTGAATTCTTCAAAGACTTATTAAAACTAATAAAACTGTACAAGAATTAATTTAAAATTTCATAAAATTAAGAGATGTTAAAAAAAAAATTTAAAAGAAATGTTTAAAATCATTTCATTCTTTTGTGAATAAGACCTAAAAGGTTTCATTAAAATCTAACAATTATCTGATTTTTGTAAGAATTTCCAAACTAATGTGATCTTTGCCACACACACACACAAAAAAAAAAAAAAAAATTATTGTCATTGGTTGACACAAAAACATTTTTAAACAAAATTTTGAAAGGTCTAAAAAGGATTAAAAAATAATTTAATCAAAAAATCATTTGGTCTTTCCTCTTAAAAATAAAAATTTTTGACAACAAAACTTTAAATTTTGGACTTTTTTTTTCATCATGAATGCTCATTTTTTAGCAAATCATTGAGTACCTACTTTTAAAAGTTAATTCGGAATACATTCTGTCACATAAAATGTTGATTATAAAGAATGTAAAATAAATACATTTTTTATTTTTAGGTCTCAAGTAAAATATTTTTTATAAAATTGATATTTAATGAAAATTTTCACCATGAAAAGTTTAGAAGCAAACTTATTTTAAAAATTCTTATAGCTTCTAAACTGAAATATTTACAAAAATATTTTAAGTGGAGAAATCAAAAAAAATTTTTACATGGAAGACAAGTGCAAAATATTTCAATGGTTTGCATGCAGACATGGGAAATCAGTGCACTATTAGTTTAATCTAATAAAAAATAAAACCTTATTGAATAATCTACTAAGTTCTCAATTACTTTAATTACATGTATGATATGTTTGTATGTACAATATTAACTTGTAACATACTGGTTAATTTTTCTACAGAGTTTTTAGGAAGTCCTGTTGAAAGTAATATAGGATACATTCTTTCAATCAGTGCATTTTAGCTATGATGTAGCGAGGGCAAGAATAACTGAAAAGTAGAAATCATTACGCATTTTCACTTGTTAATATTCCATCAATAGTCTGTAATATTTAAATTATTAAGAATAGTTGTAGAGAATATTTTCCAATATCTTTGTATATTTATTTATTAAAGGACATTTTTTTTAAAACAGATTCTGAGAGTGATACACCTTTTGAAGGAATAAAGGCTTAAAAACATCAAATTATTAAATTGATATAGAAAATTACAAAAAAATCTCCAAAAAGATAGCAAAGAAGATTTGTTATTGTTACATCCAATACCCATAGAATATAAATTTCCAGGAAATAAAAAAAAAAAAAAAAAAGTTAAAAATGGTCATATTTTATTCTATATAAATTTCTGACTAAAGCATCTATATTGACTTTCCAATTTTTCATTTTCTCACTATTTTTCTTGAACTCATTTTGAAGAAAGTTCAAACCTAAATTTGATGTCTCAATACATAATTGAAAAATCAAATTTAAAAAAGGAGCAGTGTAATTGTAAGTGGTTTATATATATATATATATATATATATATATATATATACACACACACACACATGTGCATCAAGTTTTAAAATCCAATTAGATAAGTTTTGACAGATTTTTTAAAATCAACATGTTTTTATAGCATGTACAAATACAAAAAGCAATATTTTTTTTTATAGTGACAGGATTTGCACAAAGTAAACATTTTTAAACAAATATTTACAATTTTGCTTGAAACCTAGAAATAATATTTATAAATCAGAATATTTTCCATTCTTTCAGGAAAGAAAAAAAAAAAAAAAAAAAAAAAACAAAATTAAGTTTTATACATGTTTCATAATTATTGAGGTGTCAAATTTTCTAACATGAGATGCCTAATATATGGTAGCAAAAAAATATGCCAGATGATTACAAATATATACTTTGTGTTCAAGGTTCAAATTTTGGTATAAATTCTAGATACCTCATTTTTAAATAGACAAGAGAATTTTATTGGTGGGCGGAGAAACTGTTTTTCCTCTTGATACCACTATTACTGTATATTGTAATATTTTAAATGTTTAAAAATACTTAAGAAAAAAAAAACTAGTTTTAGGATTTTAATGAAAACATAATATAGCAAATATTTCATTAGAGTTGGCATAATCTTGTGAACTATGTTACAAATTTGTAAATTGTTCTTGTAAAAATAGTTATTCTCATATCTTTTTATAATTAAATAAACAACTGAATAGTGTTTAACATTTTTATCAATTCTAGAGAAAAAAAAATGTATAAATTCAGTTTCATATGTTATTGCTTTATTAAAATTCTAAAATAACTTTAAAAATATTACTGAGGGAGTATACAGTAATAGTATCAAAGGAAAATTGTTCTTTTAACACTTTTTTGTGTGGTTGTAAGTTAATTCATTTCATAGTGCAATGACTGAGAAATATGCAATCTGAGATCCTAACATAAGTAACAGTTAAGATTATAAAATTGTAGCTTCCTCATGTCTGAAATAACTGCAGAACTTGGTTTTCAAGATCAAATACAAAACCAGGATTTTAAAATGGTTTTCTAGGCAAGAAAACCCCCTTTATTAGGAAGAGGGCAATAACAATCACCCTTTCTATATTTAGTTAAGATAAATCTTAAATATCAAGATGATCAGGTTATTGTATTTATCTTCATAATTGAGTATCTTATCAATTTCAAAGATAACTAAAATATTTGGATTATGATGCATGCAAAATCATGCTTTTCATCTTTTGTTAATTTTGGCATTTTTCCTTGGCCTTCATTCACATTTTAATTTTGAGATATATACTGGATAAAGAGGAGCAGTTGTAAATAAGTTTTTAAATTACAAGTTTATTTATCATTGCCAATGTTATTCTTTGACAAGTTTCCTCTCTGGAAAGAAAAAAAATTTATTATTGAACCTATCACTAAAGTGCTTACCATAAATCCAAGCAATCACCACACATTCAGTCAGAGACAGGATCATCAAAGAGAAAGTTGAACAGTACCAATCCACAACCTGCAGCAAGTAGATGCCTCCCTGGAAAATAAATTTAATAGAACTCATTTATTCAGACATTTCTTTTAAATATATATATCTCAATAAAATAGTTAAGCTTTTTTTTTTTTATTTTTAGTACTTAGAAAATTTTAGACTACAATTGCCTTTATTGAACTGATATTTTATGTCAGTTACTCTGGTATAAGGAATATATTGTCATATCTGCCCTATCTAAGGAAAAAATTGTATCTGAATAGTGGTTAATTTTAATTAACATTTGTATATTTCATGAACAAATCATTATTCTAAAATAATGTCATTTCATATAAAAAACCAAAACAATTACTTGCACACAATATTATGTTGTATGATAATACAAAGATGCTTAAGATTCATTAAGTAACATTACTTAGCATTGACTTTGATGAATTCTATTTTTCATGCTTCTAAGCATGTTGAAAATTCTACCATTTCTTCTGATTATGTGCTAACTTTTAGAAGGTAAAAACATTAATAGAAAGCATTGATATTATAAAAAAATAATTGTGTTCTGAATTGAGATTGGAAACAATACTAATATAAGAAAAAAATGCTCATATTCTTGGTATCTTTTTTATATTTATGACAAGATAAAAATTTTAAAATTGACATTGAATGTTATTACCTGTGTGACAAATGGAATTCCAAGTAAAAATTCAATGAAGCAGATTCCAGCTGTAAATAGCATTTTCTTCTGCCGTAAATATTCAGGGAACTCATCTACAAAAGCTGTAGTCATTGTTTCAAACATACCAAACTGAACAGAAAGAAAAATTATAGTTAGTTTTATATTATTTCAAAGTGTGACTGAAATAAAAGTACTTAAATATAATGTACAAGAGAAAATTCTTGCAGTTCTAGTAAAATGTTTAGTGTTATACTTTTTATTTTACAGAAAATGAAAGATTTTTATTATTTTCATATTTAGACTTAGAAGTCATTTAGCATAATTTTTTTAAAATAAACCTCAAATACTTAAAATTAAATCATTTAGCATATCAATACCATTTGTGTATGTGTGTCTAGATATTTTTAAAATAATGTTTAGATTGAAAATTTAACATTGGTTAAGTCATATTTAAATACTCACAGTGATAACTTAATTATTACCTTTTAAAAAAAGTAAAAATAAACTAGGCAAATTCAGTTCAGATTTTAGGGTATTTTTTTTTAATATAAAAAAAGAGAAAAATAATTACTTTTAACAGATTAGAAATTATGTGAATATTACCGAATATATTGTTTGACCTAATTCTTTTAAATAAATAGGATTTTATTTGAAAATTAAAAACTTAAAAGCTGCAGGTCTTAATTTTTTTTTTTTTACACTTTATTAGTAAAATATATATATTGGTCAACTTCATATTTTTCTAAGTTCTAATATTAGTTTGAATGATAATCTTTGATATTCGATGAATGATTTCAGTATTTATATTCTTATAAACTTAAAATTATCAAAGCTACATGGAGATATCCATAAATTTATGCTAATGAAATCTGAGCTAATAGCAAACATAAAACTTAAGTCTATAGCTGCTATCTGCATATTTAAAATTTACTTAAATATTTACATTGACAGTTTAATTCTAAGTTTAATTTGTGGAACCATGATATATACTTTTTGTATAAAGTTTAACATTTTTATATCAAATTGATAGAATGAAAATCATTAGAATCATAGTTGAAAGCATGTATTACAATGTAATTCAACTATATTTGAATATTAGCGAACCAATATCTTCTCAAAGATCTATAATACAATGCAGGAATTGTCAAGTTTGAATTAAGAAATTAGATATAAAAGCATCTAACTTAGGATATTTTACTCAAATTTATAGGAAAATATAAGTCAACAATGAGTAAGTAGAACTTATTCAGTTACTCAACATTTTTTCACCCCAATTATATAAAAAATTGAGAAACTAATGTACATTAGTAAACAAAGATAAGTTGTATTACCAAATATACAATCGATTTCTGAAGGTATACACACAAATGTACTTCATTGGCAACAGTTACTTAGATTTTACTAATTTCATTTATTATACACTTGATAGATTCAGTTGGGACCACAACTCAATATGGAACCAAATATTTCTAGTTTAGAAAAAATGAAAGTTAAATTTTAAATGACATTTTTATTCAATCTTAGCTATCAAAACTTTTTGTAAATAAAAAGGTTTATGATGCTAAATATATGAGCTGCAAGAAAACTGAAAATGAAATGCGAGAACAATACAATTTTAATACATTAATTACTTATAATTGGAACCCTAAGAAAGCATAATCAGATTGTTAACATGAATTTTCTCTTCAAGTGTAATCTATGGAAAACTATAACGGAAATTTTTGGTAGATAAAAAAAATTGGAATGAACATTGATATAAATGAAGATTACACTGACTTTAGTGAAAATAGATTACCAAGCTGTACTTTATATTAATTTGGAAAAGAAAAACTTTGCTTGTTATCAATACAAAATATTATATTTCACTGTTTATAATATGCTTTTCTCATAGTATAAGATACTATCAGAATATTGTGTTCTGTACAGATTCATTAAATTACAAAATTTACATGCCTCCTAGTACCTTGCCACAAGATGTACATGCATCTTGTGACAGTAAACATGTTAAAAATCCTCTTATTTTATTAAAAGAAAATAAACTTTTAAAAATTGAAAATGCATCAGTTGGATATTGCCTACAATAAAAACAAATAGAAAGTTATTTGTTAAAATTACACAAACAAAAAACAAAAAAACAAAAACACTTTCCATGAAATTGCTCTTATTATAAAGGAAATCAGTTCATACATACATCAAACCTCACTCCTTCCTTTTCAGCTTAGAAATACCCTTATCAGAAGCTTTCTCAAATCGCCATTGCTTGCATTTATGTAGTAAAGGTAAATATTAGTTTATGAATTGAATTTCATTTTTATAATATTGCTATTAATAATCTCATTTGTCAAATTAACTTATTAATTACCTGTAAATTTTAAATAATACTTATTAAAATAGATAAGAATATGATACTACATATTGTTATATATCACTAATGACAAAATGACTCAATTGTGTTTTTAATTTAATTCATTTTGTATGAATAAAGTTTTATTTTGGTGGTGCAGTGCCACAGACAGAAGTTTGTAGAAGACAATTCATATTACAAGAATAGTTACAAGTCTGATTACTAGCAGCTAAGACAAAGTAAATGCTGTCATTTGTGGAAGTATGGGTATTGAAGACTTAATAGGCTATAGAAAAGGCACTGAAACAACTTGGAAGTAATGGTAAGAGACAAGTACCATTTATTAACTTAATTGGCTGATGATCTAATTTGAATGACTGGGACAGACTGATTTAAGTTTAAACATTTAGGATGCAAATTATAAAAACTTACTTTTAGCATGTTTGCAGTACTTCAAAACTTTCAATCGAAGTCTATATACAATAAGTGCACTTACAAAGATATTTATTGTATAGACTTCAATTCTTTTGAAATCTCTTGTAAAAGGAGTTTAAAAGTTAGTTTGATATTAATCTTTTAGTTTCTAAAGCCTTAGGCACACACCTTCATTTTTAGATTCATATTTTCTTGCAAAAATTAAGCCTATGGTGAGTCTTAAATTGCTAAAAATTGTGACTAATGTTTAATTTTTGTTATATACCTTGATAGTATTTTTCAGTCTGTTATTGATATGGTCTTGTTCCATTGCTTGTTGCAACAAAAACTTTCAGCACTCCCTTATGACCGAACCAGTATTTAGAACTTAGTAAATACTATATAAAAGTTTTAAAAATGTAAAAACTTAGTGATATTTAAAAAAATGTTAATGCTTTTGTTTATCTAAGTTTTACTTTTATTAATATTTATGTTAGCTATATAACTCATTTGATTGAATGTTTTCATAATTGGTTCATTTTAAAAATTAAATTTTAAACTAAAAACTGTAAGAGTCCGAGATGTATTTTCTCAAGACAAAATTTTTATTTAGATAAACCAGCAAATATATTCAATACTTATTAATTTGATACCCACATGAACAGTTTTTAATTTGAGGTATTCGATTGGGTGTGAGTTAAGCAGAGTTTTTTTTACAAATATTGATATCAATTGATTTTTTTTTAATGTAAAACTTAAAATAAAAATATGTATGACTTTAGATTTGCTAAATTTTATTAATTCATAAGTTATCCTGTGGTAGTTAAATATTTTAAAACATTAACATTCACAGCATTTTCTTTGTAAAATTAACATTAAATGCAAACAACCAGGATTAGTATGACATTTGTATTTTAAAAATTTATATCTTTAAATGCTGTTTTTGCACATTCATTTTACAACTTTTGTGAGAGATATAATACCGTCAATATAGTTATTTGCATTCATAATAGTGATTGAAATAAAACCCAAATTGTTTTAATTGTAACAGATATTGCATTATATAAACATGTAGGTTTGACAAAAAATAAAAATATTGACTCAGATAATGCAGCCCAGAAGTTTTATCCAATATTTCCACAACCTTGATTCTTAACCATGAAACTATATTACAATCAAAACTAAGACTTGATACAGAAATTAATTATTTAAAAATAAAACAGCCTTTAAATTATGAATCTATAAAATTTGCAAACAAATATTTAATAGGAATAATTTTAATAAAAATGATTTTAGCATCAAAGCAAAAACTTATTTTTTTTACACAATTTGGTTGCATTGACAAAATAGCTCTTGGCTGATTGGGGGGGATCATTTCATACTCACTTACAAATGGTCATTCATGGTTGTTTTTCCATTGTCTAAGAACAGAAATTTCTTTCTCTAAGTTTCTGTCCACTCCATTGAATGTCCTGTGTTTTCTGTCACTTTCCATTGACTAATTTACTTTTGAATAGTAGCTTTTTAATTTTGTTTGGTGATTTTAAAATCATTTCTTGAGGATTATACACAAGTGACTGGTCCACTTGATTCTTCATTAAAGAAATCCATAAGGTGCAGATGTAGGTTAGAGGCAGGACTCCTTTAAGGCTTGAAGTGAAGGGCATCACCCATTGGACTGCTAATAAGTTTTTAACACAGACAAAAAAAAAAAAAAAAAAACACAACTTACTCCAATCTTGAGCTGGATTAGTCAAAATATGATAGAGATTTTGAACATTGTTTTATCAAAATATAAAGCATATTGAAACAATATGTAATGCTTTTATACCACTCATTACAAATTAGGGAAACATTTCAAAATATCAATATCAAGTTTTCATTCATTTTAGTATAAATTTCCGATTTGGAATTTAATGACCAGTATTAATAGTTACTTTCAGATACAATTATCTGAAATATCAAACTTGTGTCAACTGTAATTGGAAGATATTAACATTCAAATACTAATATGAAAGCAGTGAACATTGCTTAAACTTGCTTTTACATAAAAGGAAAAGCATAGGTACCCATAGTTTGATGTTTAGTAAATTGCCTTTGTCCAGCTTTAATATGTATTACTTCAATAATCTATCTGCATGAATATATTAACTTTAGATGATTCAATTGATAAAAATTTGGTGCAACCAATTTTATACATTGTTTCTTGTAATTATTGAAATTAACTAGATAGGTTATCAAAATAATATTTATGAAAAACTTGGCTCTTAATTACAAATTGCATTTCAGCAGTGCAGAGATTAGAATGTTTACAGAATTATTAAAAAACAGATCCCCCAAAAACCTTGGTACAATCACTTAGTCATACACTGATGAACCAAAATATGATCAGCAACATGCGGCAAAGATGATAGCTACTCTTGTAACAACTGTACAAGTCAGAGGTATATGACCAAGTGTCTTTGTATAGTTCATTTTGATTTGCTAAATGCTATATTTATGAGCAAGACAGATTTGAGAGACATTGATAAATGGCAAGAAAACGGTGAATTTTTGAAGTGGCATGGTTTTGTGGTGTAGTCACCAAGTATGCACCTACAGAATAATTGTAGCATAAATTGCAAATAGCTTTTGTGAAGGAAGGAATGTGTCACAATCCAAAGTATATTGATCCTTGTGTATCCTACAGGACAGATTACTCATGCTAACCAGTGTTCATCATTGGAAGTATCTTCTGTCCTTCATATGGAAGGTACTTTGCTATGTACTACCAACCTCAACATTGCAGATCATACTCTTTTATGGCAACAGTCTTATGGCAGTGGCACAATACACTGTGCATGATTTGTATAGGAAGATTTCAGGAATAAGAACAATAATTCAAATTGCTTCTCTGATAATAAAACTACAAAATCTCAATCCCATTGAGTACGTTTGAAATGTGTTTAACCAACAAACTTTGCTCTGTAGAATCTGCATGTATCTTGTAAACTTTAAAAGGATGTTCTGTTAACATCTTGGCACTACATTTCTTTTTCTAGTCATTTCACCCCCAGGCATTGCTGTTTTGTGGGCACATGGAGGAGCAACACCTTTTTAGGCAGATGGTCATAAAATTTCAGATCATCAGTGTATATATCATGTCAATTGTTTTGGAAGTGAAGACAAAGAGAAAAATATTGTTTAAAGTTCAGGAATATTTTCATTTTAAAGAGCCAGTTCAAAGTTAAACTAATTTTGAGAATAAGTATCAAAAAAATAGAAAATGCATAAGTTATAAATTTTGTATAAAATAATAGAACTTGAAAATTTTTCACATGCTTTAAGAAATGGTGTCACTTATTCTAATATTGCTTTAGTAAGAAAATTTGTATATTCAAAGCAGTTAGTATTTTTTTATCCTGCTTTAAAATTTCACACGTAGCTATGTGTGACAATTCACATTAGCAGATTCTGATTTAAAAAAAATAAAAGCTATCATGGATGCATTCTAGAAAGAATGCTAACAAAAAGGTTAGTAATTGGCTTGTATTACAAGCCAAACTGCAGGTAAATTAGATTTACTCAAAATATCAATGAAATATAAAAAATTTGGTTTAAATTCTTTAATACATTTAGTGTTTTTTCTGAAATTTTCAAGTCTCATCCACAATTGTTTCAATTTACTAAATACATTTTTGAATTCAAAATAATTGCTATTTGAATTACTAGTAATTTCATTGTTTTAGAGAAGTCTTCCTGTCGAAAGATACTGGGTATATCATGCATTATACACTAAATTTTAGTTTTGGTTTCAAAAACTCAATTTTAAAAGCATTTGATGCATCCTATAATTTTATATGTAAATTATATTTTTGTTTCTGCTAATATATTTAAAATGTGTAGGTTTACCCAAGAAATAGTGAAAATGACCAATACTTTTAAGATTATATTTCTTTATCATAAATCATTTTATTTCAATTTTATTAATGAAAGATGCAGAATCAAAAGCATAAATTTACAACCTTTGTGCATACAGTAAATATGAAAAATAAATTTTCATCTAAGCACTCACCAATTTCTTGTTATAAAACATCTTAATATCTCTAGTTCTATTCAGTTTTAATACTTTTGCATTAAGTTTTCATAATTATGGAAATAATCACAAGAAAAAAATAAGGACAGTTTTAAAAGTTTTTGTTTTAGAAGACATTAAATCCTAAAAAGGTTTCCATGCTTTAAAAATTAAATCCTGCCATATTTGATATGCAAAGAAATTAACATTTCAGATATGGATTCATGGTTTCCATATCCTGGATTAGGTGTCATGCATCGTGATTTCACTTGCTATATTTTTGATTTATCTTGATAAAATATAGAAGTTTGTCCATTTCAGCAAAATGAACAGAAAAATGTTCACTTTCACAAAACATTGTGTTGGCCTTGCATTTGTATTGCAACTTTATACATGCTTGGCTATTTGATTCATTCTTTGCAGTATATATTTTTTCATGCAAGCTATCTGTCCATGTAGAACTTCACAAAAGAAAGCAAATAGAATGAAAATAGTCAAACTTTAAAAGTTAATATAGACTACTTTTTTTTTAATATACACACTATATTAATTTCTTCATGTTGTAATTTTATAAGCATTGTACAAAATAAATTTCTAAAAATATTAAATATTGGCTTTACTTATTGATATATAATGACACTGTACTCCAAATGTCACTTTTGCAACAATTGTCAAATTAAACTTTAGTACACACAAATATACAGATTGATCTAAGACGTCCAGAATAAGGGTTTATACAATTACAATATTCTTGCATCCCTTTCTCATGCAAAAGGGATTACTGAATCAAAACTGTAAATGAAATATTTTAAGGGTGTATCAAATCAGCCAACTTGATTGTTTTTCTATCACATTATGCAATTGTATCTTTCACTGTATATTTATTCATATAATATGCAATATCCAAAACAATGGACTGAAAGCCTTTATTTCTGATAAAAAGAACCAAAAATTGGTCTTCAAGAGCAATTCTGACAAAAGCATCTGTCATGATCTTTTCAGTCAAAAATCTAAAAGCAAGTCTGGCTATACAAAAAATATTCCAGCTTTCTTTTTCATGCAAACAATGCTAAAATTTCATTCACTTTTGTAAATTGTGACAACAGAATGTTAAGTACTCACATTAATTCTTATAATTAAGGGGAAAATTGCATAATTTGTGCATTTTACATAGGCCTAATGCTTTTATTTTTTATTTTGTTTTTAGCAATAGAACAAATGCACATGTTCAACTTGATATTTTTTTTATGAGTATATTGTAGAAAAAGTAACTGAAGTTACATTAATTTCTTTTAGTGATATACAGAATTGTATAGCCTAATCAGTGGTTAAGAATTTCCAATAAAAGTTTACCTCTGCTTGGGAATATAGTTTCAATAAATACTTCATTTAATAGAGTCACTGTTGGAAATAGGAAAATAGTTCAAACAACTTCTACTGGCTTTAATTGCAGTCATTACTAGTCAGTAGTATACAAGACTAACCTGTTGGCCTTGTGACAGTCAAATATTACGTACTCATGTTTTATAACAGTGAATTTAAAAAAAAATCTATATTGAATGTTTGATAACTTTTCATAATTTTGTGCAAATTCTAATGTTTTGTGAAAAAAAGTTTGTTCTAGAATATTGTACTGTACACCTTAAGTAATATTGCTTAAAAAGAATAATCATTTTAAGATTGTTATAAGAACTTGAAATTTCAGATTTTTATTTTAAACATTTAGTCAGATGCTCATATCACATACCCTTTCATGCTAAGCAACAGAAAAAAAAATGTCATGATTTTTCAAATACCAAACAATTAAGGCAAAACTTAGTTATAGAGAGAAATAGAAATTTCTCTCTATAGACATTGTTATAACATTTCAAAGAAAGAGGGGAAGAAAACATGAAAAAATTACCTGAGTATCCAAACCAACAGTGAATAACATTAAAAAAAACAAAATTGACCATAAAGGAGACACTGGCAATTTTGTTATGGCTTCAGGGTAGGCAACAAATGTTAAACCAGGACCTGGAATTATATTAAAGTAATTATCAGTATTAAATAAAAAATAAGATCTTAACCTGAAAATCTTAGATTGTTAATTTCAGATTCTAAAAATTTTCATTAAAACATCTTTTATACACTGAACTACTATGGAGTGAGTATGATCCCTAAAAGTTGTTCAGTTGGAGATATAACAATTTTCATCAAAAAAGATCTTAAAGATTTTTCCTGTCATTGTTAATCATTTATTTAAGTTGCAGTTTATTATCCTTTGATAATAAAGAAATTTACATTTTGTAAATAAGTAACTTTTTTTGATTATGCAATCATTAGTGTTTTCACTCTTGTAATTTATTATCTTTTTTCCTAATTAGTTTAGGAAATATGGTACAGGAATAGGATAGAAAGAATTATGTACAAATCAACAAATACAATCATTCATTTTGAAATTTCATTGGCTAAAAGTTTAAATTTCAACTAATTGTTTACAAGCAGGAATACTTGCCTAAAGTAGTAAATAACTACAAATGTAACAACACTGGGAAAAATTGTTCTCATATTTCCTCCTTATACAAGAAATGGAAAAAATTCTTTACAATATTTATGTACAAAAAGTAGCAGTTACTGAAAAATTATTCTGATGCATAAAAAACAAATACCCAATGTTAGTGCTCATGTAGAAACCGTTTGAGGATGCAACCCTAGAATAAGTAACAGAGCTAGCTATAGGAAAAGCTTGAAGACAGATTGAGGCCAGTGAGTTTGAGAAATTGTTCTTTGGGGGAATTTAATTCAAAATGTTTGTTGGAATTATGGGGATTCTGGTGATGAACACACAAAATTGCTTCTTTTAGTAAGAAGTGGTAGGCTTTGCTCTCTGTGCACCTCACTTCCATATTCTGTCATAACTGGATGTCTTGTGTGAGTCTGTATCAGAAGTTAGATCAGTGGGCCTTGTGTGTTCCTGGAGGAATATTGGAGGCTTGTGTGTCCCTGCTTTGTTTTAATCATGAAAATTCATGTTTGTAAAAACATTTGTCATAATGAGCCTCATAAAATTTGACTAATGAAATTTTTATACTTTTTTCAAGATAATGAATTTTTTTTTTTTTTAGAAAAATAAATTTTTGTTAGAGGTATGTGATCAGGATTCACATAACTAGAATGAATGTAGAGGACAAAAATATAATTCATTAAAATTACATTTCAAAAATCAAGAAAGTTTTTTGAACCATTTAATAGCCTCTATAAATCTGACTTGTGGTAAGAGAAAAAAAGATTAGCAATTTTTTTTTTTTTTTTTAAATGTTCATATCCCTGTCAGTAAATTGTAGAAACAATATTTTCAGGTAGGCATATAGCCTTTATCTTCCTCAGAAAAGCAATTCTGGTTTACTGGTTTTTCTAAAGTATTTTATGCATACAAATTCACTTCAGTATATTTGCTCCATTTTATACATGCATTATAGAAATGTTATCCAAGAGTTCAGAGAAATTGACCATAAAAATTATTTTATTCTAATACCAAGTTTCCAATACCCTTCAAAATAGGTCTTTGAGAGTCAACATGGCTCAATGAGTAACAAAAGAGCCTGTATTACATTTAGTTTGTGTGTGTGCTGTTAAAATACCTTAAACTCATAGATAGTACCTTCAATACAGTGCTTTATAATTTATGTATAATTCCAATGAAATTTTTCATACAAAAATAAACTTGCAGGTTTTTGTTTTTTTAATATAAAAATATTAAAACATACCTTGTGTTACAACAGACTCAATTGATATGCCAGTTTCATGTGACATAAACCCTAAAACTGAGAAAATAACAAATCCAGCAAAGATGCTTGTGCTGCAACCAATTAGGGGAACTACCATTGCATCCCTGTAAATAAATGATTAGGAAAGGAGTTTACAAAAGAATACAAAATGTTATTCAACAATTGTAAGCTCAAATTTATGTCAGTTACAGATCTTCATTTTGTTATTGGGAAAGGTTTCAGTATTTGACAATACTATTTTTAAAAGATTTATAGTATCAATATTGATTCAAGTATTTTCCATAGCTTTCTAGGATTATGCTACCTTTTAGGTAAATTGTATATTTCATCATAAAAGAATGATCTTAGTTTGAATTTGTTCTTTGATATTACTTTTTAAAAATGACTGATCTGACAACGATAGTTGAATAGAGTGAAATAATTGAGTTTGAAGGAGTCTGAACTTTAGTTTCATGATAGCTTGCTACATTGCATTTGCAACAAGAACAGGGTTATCAAAATTATTAATTAACTTTGCTTGAAAAGTTTTTTTTGTTTCAATACATTATTCAAGGCAGTAAACCAGTTTACCACAATTATTTTGCTGATGTGCAGTATATTCCTTTAAAAGTTCAATTAATCAGTTTTCAAGTTCTACAGATTTAGAACTGAAGAAAACACTAAATATGCATACAAAATAAGAGAATAAGTAAAAAAAATATCAAGTTATGGTCAGGACTATAAATAATTTAAAACAGCCTGAAAAAAAAAAAAAAAAAAAAAAAAAAAAAAAAGGTTTCCTATAAGCCTCCAATAGCATATAGAGTAAACAAAAACTAACACATGGTCTGATGACTGCTTACAGTATAAAACTGACAGTTACCATGCAGTATTGATTTTTATGTTCTCCCTATCACTCAAGTTTTATTCATTCCAACAGACAATTTTTTGTTTTATGTTTTTCCATTCACATGTAAGTTTTTGCACATCCAGACAAAATGGATGGATATACAAGGTTTTATAGATGTAGATTCTTTTCAATGCAGCATAGATACTTTCATGGCATTTAGGCCAATACAATCAATTGAAGGTGGTTAAACATAACATTAGCTATCAGACCATTTTAATTAATGAGGTTATTGGTAATGTGAATAGTCTAAATTTAGTACAAATATTTTACTGCTGTAAATTTTTCTTTAAAATTAAAAAAAAAATAATTCAGTTATCTATTTCAATGAAAATAGGAATCTTACCTGTATACATTGTTGTGAAACTTGTTGTAACTTGACATGGTAATGAGCCCTCCCCAAGACATACCCACAGAGTAGAAAATTTGTGTGGCTGCATCACCCCAGACCTAAAATGAAATTTTAAAAATTAGTATTGTTGATTTTATATGACAATCTAATTTGATTTTCTATTAGATATTAATTCTGTATAAAATGAAAGATTCCTTAATACATAAAAGTGTAGTTATGATTACATTAAAACTGTATTCTAGTAAGTAATAATGAAAAAATTAAAGCTTAATTTATAGATGTGGCCTATCATGGTTCTTTACATTTTCTTGCTTTTGTTACTTTGTTGTTCTCTGGGATACCTGTTCTTCCAGACATTTGCTCAAACTTGTCAAGTAGGTTTGTTCATTGCTTTCCAGTTTCTCTTGCCTTCAATTTGTCCTGTAAATTAAATTCTCTGAAGTGTTTTCTCATAACCCTCAAAATTTCAGCTGATTCTGATTGTTAGCAACAGTTTCTTTGAAGTTCCCATTCTCCTAAGAAATTTTTCATTCATCACATTTATTGGTTGCTGCCTACTCTTTTTCCCTTTATGACATTGTTCAGTTTTCACTAGCAATGAGCATAAACATTACCAATCTAGTATTTTTCTTCCTTTCTAATGTTATTTTACAATCACTTAATATTTTACTCCATTTCTGCAAAAGTATATTGCAATTCTTTATGCACCTTTGAATGTATGTCAGATTGCCCCAAAAATTGAATATGTATAACAAAGTAACTATGCACTTTAAATGTCATTAAATACTCAGCACTAAAATTTTGAAAAAATGCTTTAAGCATGCAAAGATTGATTTAATGAAAATGTCTTTTTAAACAGAACCAAGTAACCAATATAAAGAGATACCACAATTGTATATGCTATTGTTTCTTCACTTATATAATTAGATTCTACTAAAATTTATACTTGCAAAGTTGTCATTGTATAAATTTAAAAGTTCTATAGAAATAAGTAAAATACTGCAAGCATTCACTTACCTGAAACTCTAATAATTTTGGCCAGTTAGGTACAAGATAAAATTTTATTCCTTTCCAAGCACCTGGCAATGTGACACCCCGGATCAATAGGATTGTTAGTATAAGATAAGGAAAAGTTGCAGTTACATAGACAACCTAAAAATAAAAGTGAAGATTTGTGTCAGAAACCATTTAGATGAAATTATTCAAAATATTTTCTCATTCAAAACAGTATCTTTCAAAAGGTTCTACAAAGGCTGACTCTTAAGAGAGCTATAATTTATGCATATATTGTAAAAATGACTAGTTTAAAAAAGTGTTGTACAGAAAATTGATTACTAAAATTTAACTTCTGATGAAAATTGTGAAAGTAATATAAATTTTGTTTGACAATCATGGTTTTTAAGATTTGTATAGTAACCATTATTCTTGTAGTGGTTATAGTATATATGTCTATAAATGAAATGTAAAATCATGAGAATTTAATATGGTTTATAAGTTAATTCTTTTCTAAAGTGATAATTTAAATTTTAATGAATATATAAGTGAAAATACTGACACGTCCAGAAGACTTCACTCCTTTGCATAGACACAGGAAAACAACAATCCATGCCAACATCAAGCAGAGGAGAAGCTCCCAACGCACAGATCCTAAATTGTCAATACCATCACTGATGTGAAGAACTCTTAATCTGAAATAAAACATACAAGATAAAATAACTTAAATATATTTGGGTTAGAGAGTTTGTAAGAATTATACTTATCACACTTATGGATTATGAAGTCTGCTTGAAGTTTAAATGGCCATTTTTAAGCTCAGACTTTCTCTTTATGAAGGTTGCTCTGAAAGTAATACCTATTTTATGTTGATGGTACACCAGTAGAAGTTGAACCTTTTTGCAATGTCAGAATTTACTTTAGCTTTGTTACAAGCAGCAATCTAGAAAAATGGCATTCAACATAAAAATTCATACTGAGCAGAGGTATATTATTGAATCTGTCCAAATAGAAGAAACTGCACCCACTGACAATTCATCCATACTTATTGCACATTTATAGAAACTTAACAGTGGACATAAGTACATTTAGGCAGTGGGTAATGAGTTTCAGCAGTAGCAACAGTTTGACAAGCCATGTTCCAGGTGGTCCTGTATAGTTGTCAACCCATAAAATGAAATGTATTGCTAATAATGGTGATTACAGAAAAATTCTTATTTTGATTGCCAGCAGTGTCCTGCAATGTGCATTCACTTAAAATTGCAGAAATATCAGGGATGGGTCCATAGAGCTGTAATTAGTTGGATGTTGTCTTCAGGAGTTGTTAAGTATAGCTCTCAGCATCCAAGTGTATGTTCCATCAAGCTTAGACTGTAGGGTTTTAGTCAATGTCCAGGTAGTGGCACCATACAATACCACCTCTATGGTGGATCAAAAGCATCTCTGCTTGAAGTTATGATATTTCCAGACACACACACACACATATATATATATATATATATATATATATATATATATATATATATATAAATATATATAGCTAAAACCTTACTCTATCCAACAGAGTTATTCTGCTCCCTGTATCTGTTTCCACAGAAATAAGAGCCATTTCTTTTGAAACTTTCCTCATAATATAAATGTTAAAGGATATCTAATAGTCATTCACCACATTACAGATTTTCATTTGTGAAATTTTCAATGTGGAAATTTTCAAAATTTAGAGATTAAAAAACTGATATCAAGAGGTATGATGACATTTATTAGAGACAGACAAAATTTAAATGATCTATTCAACAAATCCCAAGAGACAAAAGTGTTATATACAAATTCAGTTTTTAATGCAAAAATGATTTATTACCAGGCTTCTATCAAAACAGTTTACTTGTAATAATTGATGAATTCATAAGATCTTTGTTCTAATAGCATACAGATACTTTAAATTTGAAAACGTTTTCTGCAAAAGTATAAATTTTTAATGGTATTCTCTATAATTACAATTAAAATTTCTTTCAAGTAACCAATTAATAAGAACTTAATGGAAGGAAAGATGAATACTTACTGCCAAAATTCTTCACTGGGAGATATTTTGGTACTATTGCTCAATTCTGCCACAGTTTCTCTATCAATCAAATTTGCTGTTATTTCCGTGTCATTGGATCTTAACATAGGTAATGTACTGCTAAAGTTTGCTAAAAATGTATTATTTATATTTGAATATTTTTCTTTTTTTGTAACAGTACAGTTATCACTGTTCCAGAAATTGTCACAATGGCTCCATGGTAGAGTTTGTCTCAGAGAGTTGAAAAGGTAGTAGAGAGTCCAAGTCACAATGATGTTATAGTACACACAAACAATGCCAGACACTATTACCATTCCATAACCAACACCTGTATATATTTAAAAAAAAAAAAAAAAAATTAATTATTTGCTCAAGTGAGAAAAAAATTAAAATCACTAAGTAACTTTGTAGATTACACTAAAAACTTGCCATTCCAACAAACTGATTTAGAATGTAAAAAATGGTACTTAGAAATAAGACACTTTTAGACATTTTATTTCATCAAAATTTACACTAAAACACATGTTAAATAATTTGCAGATATTTAAGTGTCATTGCTATTTAAAGATTAAGGTTTTCATTTTTTTTTTTTTTTTTTTTTTTTTTTTTATTTAGATATACATTTGTTTCTAACTAATAAGCAATCATTTAAAATAAAGATTATAAAGATTTGCAATTAACTAACCTTTGAATAAAGGACTGATTCTCCAGATAGTTATGGGACTGAGACTAGCAAATTGACCAAATGCTGTCTCTAAGAACACCAAAGGTAATCCACACAAAACCAAAAACAGGCAATAAGGGATTAGAAAAGCTCCTGGAAAAAAAAAATACTCAGCTTCTATGAGATATGCATGTAACAGTTCCAATTAACATTGTGATTTCTAGAATCTTTTTATACAGTGTAACCCGGATATAAGAGAAACCTAGATATAAGAGAGATTTTCTCTGGTCCCAAATTAGAGCCTGTGTTAATGTATATAAAATAGACCAAACCCGGATATCAGAGAAACCCAGGATATCAGAGACTTCTTCTCCGGTCCCAACAACTCTTATATCCTGGTTACACTGTATATGGAGTTACTACCATAGGACTTAATACATAATAAATCTGGTACTTTTAAACTGTATAGCAGATCTCCAGCAAAGTTATAGAATAGACTAATTTGGTGAACATATTTTACACATTGCCTAGATTTGCATTCTCACATATATGAACTGCTTTGATAAAAATTCAGAAAGTGATGATACAAATTAGACATGCAAAATATTTCAAAGAGATGATATATACTTTAAAACCAATCTAGGCAAATAAGCAATTTCTTTCTTTACTGATACACACAGCTGATATTTAGATTTAGTAACTACTATAAATCACCAATTTGTAAAACTTGTAAATAATCAGATTCAGACAACTGTCAAAATTATTAAAAAGTGAAGATTTTTTTTTACGTCCTGATTTTCTTAGGTTTTATTGATACAAGTGGGTTCTATGATTTTATTTGCTAAAATATTTGTCCTATAATCTTTGTAAAAATGTGCTATGATGTTTTAGCATATAATGTTCTGGTATAACAGATACTAATTAGATTTTAGTAATCCCATATATTATGTAAATATATAAGCATACATAAAATGGTGCAAATTCAGTCAATTAAAAATGTAATTATAGGAGGGAGTGCTGAACAGACTTGTTTGATCAACTTCCAAATTCTAACCAATAACCAAACATCAAAATATTTTTAGTTGGCCAATGATTTTTCAACACTCCCTTATACATGTGAATATGCATAATAATGTAGTTGACCATAAAATGAAATATTTGTATTCATAAACATTAGAATAGACTCATAACACCTTCATTAACATACTTATGAGTAATTAGCCATATTTTCTCCTTCCAAAAATGCACTCAAAAACATCTAGATTTTATGTGGTTAGTTGATTTCTTTTTTTATTTTTTTTAAAATGGATTTTGCAGGTTGTTCAAAGCCAGAAAATACTTTTTAGATTGTAAGAATTTGGGGTGTGGGGGGATAATGATTTACTGATACAAGTCCTATTTATCCCATATCTTGTGGTGAGAAGAGGTAAATTCATACCTTTCCCAAGGATATTTACATGCAAGTGAATAGAACAGACCCAACTGGAATTGGAACGGCTCTCCAATTCCAATTGTGTGTTATCTATTACACCAACTGCAAATCCAAGCTTATACTACTTGGTATTTCCAAGCAGTCACCCATCTAGGTACTGACCAGGCTTGACATTGCTTACTTTTGGCAATTATACGAGAACTGGTGTTTCAATGTAATATGGCCATAAGCCTAGATTTTATATGCAAAGATTTTGTGTGGTAGGCTATTGTGTAAATACATTTAATATTACAATATTAAGTTATGGCCTTATTAGCATATAAGATCCACACCTATGAGGCCAAGTCATAATTTCAATTTTTGGGAACCAAATGTAATGACAACTGTATTCTAACTACTAGCTGTTAAGAGTAAATTTGGAGTATAACATATCTGAGTTTTTGTATGGCACTGTACCCAGTGGATTAAAGGAAAAAATAATTTTCCATGACAATACAAGAACAAAAGGAAAAAATTTTGGAACTTGGTCCCCGTTTACCCCACCTGCCATGTTCACCTGTTCTTGCACCAACCAATTACCTTTTTTTTTTTTAACTCTGAAAAATGTTTTGAAGAGATAGCTTGTAAGTGGCAAGTCATTGCAAATAATGGTGGACATATAATTGAATAAAATATAATTGTATTCCATTTCTTTAAAAAATAAAGTTGATTAACAAAAGCAGAAATTATGACTCAATGTAATATTTAATGGTTAAATGTGAAACTTCTGACATCTAGGGGAACAAATTTTCCATGATTATGGAATCGTTAATCTTAATTGGAATCTGGGTTTTTAATGTAATTTTCAATAATAAACATTGATTTTTTTTTCACATTTTTTAAAATTCTTTCAAAGTTAACTGTCTCCCCGATTTTGTTAAGCATTTTAATAAGTATAACAATAACAGTTATTTCCTTAAAAATTTGTTTTTACAAATATTAGTTATTTTCCTTATAAAACCCAAAAAATAAAGAGCAAAAATGTTTACATAAAAAAAAGAAAAAAAAGTGGGTTTCTGATTTTCTGAGAATATGTTGGCTAGTCTATTTTTAAATATTTTAAAACTTTTCTAAGAAACTGTATGTAGCAAATATGGCCACTGAGATCCATTGCTAAAGTGGAAATGGAAAACAGACAGTTGCTGTCAAAATTGGAGGGTGGAGGGGAGAGAGAGAGACACAAAGATCAAATCAATAAGTTTAACAAATTCATTTCCTTTAAGGCCTCACAATTTACAATTAAAAGATGTTTTATGAATATGAAAGAAAAGTAAATGCTATAACATGCCTACCATACAATTTAGAAATAAAGAGAAAGAAAAAATTCTCCAAAAACACCATTGTATGAAACAACTGGTTTGTCTAAGCTTACTGTCACACAGTAATTCTCCTGGATTAATAATTACATCTTCACTATTGTAAACAAATTTTAAATTGAACCAAAAAAAATTCCTTTAATAATAACTATCAATGATTATTTTTTTATATTTTCTTTATATTTCGTAATTTAAACCAGTTGTATGAATAAGCAACAAATTGCCAAGATGACTGAATAAAGCCAGTATAGTGAATCAACATCTAAAGTTGGGTCTGCTCCTCTTAAAAAAAAAAAAAAAAAAAAAAAAAAAAAAGAAAAAAAAAAAAAAAAAAAAAAAAAAAAAAAAAAAAAAGAAAAAAAAAAAAGAAAAGAAAAAGGACCCCAGGGCCAGAGTAGAGCAATTTCCTGATAACTTATGCACAAGAAAATGTTATTTTGCAAATTGTCTCCATAGTGTTGACACATTTAGGGTTGACAATCAAAGATCACATTCAAAAACTCATTTGACAAAAGTCTTTAAAAACAAAAAAAAAAAAGTCAGCTCAATTGAAACAAGACAATCACAACTTTGTAAAAGAGGTATGAGATGATTTTGTCCTTGATTTTTTTGAAAATGTGCACTTTGTATGACATTCCCCTACACAAAATGAGGCCATTCATATTAAAACCTTGTAAAGAAGGTGGTGCTATTCCAAGTGTCAATTGTGTTAGGCAACTTCATTTACCAAAATTGTTTGCTTGCCACTTTGCTGCCCTGAAAGCCAAGCTTTCTAATCAGTATCATATACAAATGAAACAACTATCATGGCCACAGCATTTTGAATGTAACTGCAAGCATTCATGGTGAGTCATTTCTCATTGATGTTGTAACCTTGGGAGAATGCAATCAACCAGGCATGAATCCAAGCTGTAGCTCGTGGATATTGCATTTGAGGATATTGCCTTTGTAACAATTTCTGCAGCCTATTGCAAAAAAAAAAAAAAAAAAAAAAAAAAAAAAAGGCTCATAAGGAAACGTTGTCAAATGTCTTTAACAGTTGTCATGTGTTGTGCTTAGCACATATTTTAAATCTTGTTGGTGAAGTGTTTTCACACTGGTCAGCATTTGATAATGTTACCCAGCTAACTACTTTTCATCAAGTCAGCCTTTTTAAAAAAGGCCTAGTCAGAAAAAGCAATACTTAAAATGCCTTGAAGGTTCCTTCCCTAAGGAACAAGTGAAACTACCCCTTGTACCATTTGGCCTAGAAATTGATTGTCTTCTGTCTGAACTAGAAAATACAGAAAGGGAGAGAGTTATCTCAAATTTCTATGATTTTTTTCAGCATATTTTTTTCAAAACTGAATAAATACCTGGATACCCACCTTGTGTATAACTTAAAAAGTAGCTCACCAGTTTGATCCTAGACAGCTACCCTGTATAGACCATGATTTAGACAGTTTTGCAGCCATCAAGGACTTGCAATGTCCTTCTTCTGATCTTAAGAATTCCAAATGTATGTGAATTACCAAGATGATTTACCAGATCCTTTTAATATCCCATCATTTTGGAATGCAAGTAAGAGCGGATTTCCTCTTTTGGAACAGATTGCCAATAAGCTTATATGGATGCCTGTTACCAGCATAGATGCTGAAAGTTCATTATAAATATTTACTCAATAACGTGAAAGTCTTACCCCTGAGAACACCAAGCAACTTACAGTGTATTACAATGGAGATGTAGAGAGAGATTTGAAGATTAAATATTTCCCAAATTAAGAAATTAGCAATTTTAAATTTGAGCAGTATTTCAACTTGAAATAAGTTGCTTTATTTAAATTTTGAATTAATGTCTAATTTGTTTCGATATTTTGTTACAAAGATTCAATTGTTATGGTTTAATTAGTTTTGTAAAATTTTAGTCAAAATGTTTGACTTTATTCAAATATTTATTGAGATTCAAGTTATTTGCAGTTGATACTTTAAATGTGATTTTTATATTATGAATCAATAATTATAAATCAATCAATGCTTTTACTCAACAAAAAAAAAAAGTTTTGAATGTGTTCTTAAAGGAAACTGATTAAAAGTTCTACCTCAAAGATAATTATGCACTGTAACATTCCATTGAATTGTCTACTCATGTTACATTTTTTTTTTTTATTTTTGCATATTTATTTTTGGACTTGGATTTTAACATTTAAAAAAGATTTGTAGAAATTTGCTCTTTTTTTAATATGCATTTTGAATTAGGTTTTTGTTTTTAGTTTTAATAATTATAGCATATTGTATTGCAATTCTCAAAATACTATCAAATGGGAAAAAAAAAAAAAGATGAAATTTTCTAAAAGTAAAAAAACGGAAAAACAGACTTTACCAACAGTGGAAATGGAATCAAGGAAAATTTGAAGTGGAAAATCGGGGGCCCTAGACATCAAATACAGTAATTACCAGTGTAAGCAAAATGTACTATAGAATACAAATATAAATATTCTTTGGTTTTAAAAGAGGATATTACACTTAAAACGATATGCTCAGTTTACACACAGCTCCAAACAAGATTCTTTGACCCAGACATTTATTGGCAGATAAGGAGCCAGAAACAAAAACGAAGTTTTAAATAATATACTATCAAGTACTATTTTTATTATTTTGAGGAAAAAGAACTTAGACGCATGATTGATGATTTGATAAAAACATTAAATGACAAGGAAAAAAACCTCACCTCCTCCACTTTTGTAGCATAAATAAGGGAACCGCCAAATGTTTCCTAAGCCAACAGCATAGCCAACACAAGATAACAAGAAATCTAATCTTCCAGTCCAGTTTCCACGTTCTTTATTTTCATCACTAGAGAGACTGGAACTGTCATCATTGGTTGATGATTCCTCACCAACATTTTTTATTGTCTGAAAAAATGAGAAAAGAAATGTTCCTCATAAAAAATAGAATCTCATTTCAATAGTTAAAGAAATCAAACAAATTTAACATGCTTTTGAGACTATTTTAAAATCAGATAGGACTTTATGCATATCTGTTATAGTCTGGCTTTAAAAGCAGCATCAAATCTCTGCAACTTTTGAGATACCACAAGTCAGTCTTAGAATTTGATGTGGGGAAAAAAGTTGATTTTAAATTTAATCATTTTCTGTTAGTTAAAGTCTTACAATAATGATTTTACAGTTTTTGAAAAACTTTAAAGTGAAATAAAAGTCAAATCCATTAATGAAAATTTTAATTTTTGAATAATTTAATTTTCCCATTAATATTGGCATTCTTTAAAACTTGCTAGCTTGCAAGCATGACTGCACTTGTGTCTGGTATCTGCAGGAATTTTGCTTTGATAGTTCATTTAAAAATTCATTTATAGCAAAAAGTTTCAAACGGCATTTACACAGCATTTTTTTTTTTTTACCTGGACTCCTCAAGCTTGACCACCTTTACTCACCTGTGTTAGGCTGGGTCCCCATCCTCTCCCTCCCTTCAGCAGTTGGATTACTTTCCTTCTTACCAGTGAAGTGCTTGTCACTGACCTATAGTCAACATTCATTTTCTCTTCTCCCTCCGTGAACGTGTGGAACAATGCAAACACATTAACTTAGTAGTAGTAGAGATTAAAAATAAGGAAAAGTTATACCATTAGAACAAAGTGAATGTAAGTTTGTAGCCATCATATGAATTTAGAATACATATAATACTTGTATTGAATTAGCATTTTAGTCATGTGATAAGAATTAGATATTTACTAACACCGATTTGGTTCGGTTCCATGAATAAAATTATCTGACCTCGCAAAATGAGAAAAATGTTACACATTTTGATGACATACCCTCAATATTCGTCTGCTACTTTTAATTTTGAAAAATACATTTGTAAAAAGGTACATTTGATATAGATAATGATTAAGTGACATCCAAAAGGAGAACATAAAAACTATATATATATATATATATATATATATATATATATATATTCGTTATTTTTAGTGGATAACCATACTTGAAATAGATGCCCAATTTTTATTTTAAATAGTTATTACAGCTATTGGTTTATGCACTCTAGGAATTATATATATCTATTTATATCTAAAAACAAAAAAAAAAAAAAAAAAAAAAAAACAATAGAACCATAAATAAAAGGTACTGAGTACTTTTGTACCCAGATTAGAATAAATTCTTAGAACAAGAGATTAGATGGTATCTTACATCATTGCAACTATCAATACTGTTAAAAAAATGTGTTTTATTAACTTAGTTTCACTGAATTTTGTTACTATTTAAAAAAAATTGAAAATTTGACTTGATAGTATTAAAATGTGTCCTAGTACACAATTTTTGGAATGTCAAAATAAGTATTCAGGTAAAACATGGTATAAAGGATGTAAATTAAGTCTGTTAAGATTTGAGGAGTAAGATAATTTTATACACTTGGTATTAATAGAATCTGTTTATACTATATGGGCATTAGATTTAAAGGCAATGGTAGCTAAATTAAGACCAGCATTAATCTCAAGTGGGCATTCCTGTCTTGAACATTTATATTTGATGTCCTTGTATCAGAAAAGCTATCAAGCCAAAAGAATTGGGTTAAAAATAAGTCATTGCTGTGATGAGTTTACTGCAGACCATCTTAGTTATCTATAATATTAAGCCTTGTCTTAATTTTAGCATAGAAAACTAGTTTCTCAGACAATACAACTTATCTTTGGTAGTATATATTTATAAGATTGTTGGATATCAATGATTTTAGATTATACATGGATAGTTCTACAATTACAAATTAAAAAATTTGAATTGCTTGCACCATTTTATTGCTAATTATAAAGGAATAAAATTAATGATCATTACTTTCCTATACACAAGCTGCTAGTGTCCTGATGGCAACATCAGTGGCCCTCTAATGGCCCACCAGTGGTAACATTACCAAGACAAACATGTCAATGGGCCACCAGCAGTAAACACTTGTGGCATGCCACCCAGTGGCAGATTTGTTGCTTGCATGTAGAGGTTCAAACTACCCAATAGGCTCATGATATTCATGAAGATCACCAAATATGAAGTTAACTAATTGTCATTTCTTGTATGCCAATGTCTATTTTATGCAAATTTTTGCAGAGATCTAAAATTATTTTCTGTTTTAATTAAACTTGAGCCTACTCATTTTTTTAAAAGGATATTTAGTTTTGTTAAATATGGCATGGGGTCCAAAGGATTATATTTGACTAATCTTATCCCTGAAAAGGACCTGCATGCCTTGAAAATTAGCATTCAAAATTCTATCCAACTCATTTTTCATATATCTTTGTTAGTATGTAATTAAATACATACTTTATTTAAAAAGGAATTCAAAGGATTATTGGCAGTTAAGTATAATTTTAGTTAGCACTACTGTAAGCTTCTAGTAGAGATTAAGTACATTAAAAACTTGATTTAAAGCAATGAAAAGGACTTTCATTGTACTAAAATTATAGGGAATTGTACAAATTTTATTAAAAAAAAAAAAAAAAAAAAAAAAGGAGGGGGTTAATAGTTTATGAAACAGTAAAGCCAAGGTTTATCTACAAAAATATAGTTACAATCCTTATTTCTATTACATTTTCAATCTTTAAATATAGATAATTTTTCTTATTCTAATTTGTAAAATTATCACCATGACAGCCAGTTGAAGATAATTAGATGAAAAGATCAGATTAGAGAGGTCACCAAGTTTCACTTGACAGACTTAAATTTTTCTAAATTGTAGTATATGCATGAATAGTAATAAACATGGGTGAGAAGAATCCCTCTGTAGAGTGTAGAATTAAGAAAGTTTATAAGCGATTCGTTGATGACAGGTACTTAGATTTAAACAGACAATGTATCAGAACTTGGGCAATTTTAAAGCACAAAAATGTTTAATTTTCAGAAAAAAAAAGCCCTAAAAAAATTTAGTATTAGTTAATATTTGTTCAAGTACCCATCCAATTCAAACAGTTAAGCTTAGTTTTATGAAAGGCTTTTAAATTGACTAATTTAAATTTATAAAAATGCATTGTCTTTACCTTGAGTCTTAAATCATATTTGTGCTAGATGTCTACATTTTAAATATGCATTTACAATCAATTTATTTTTCACTCATTTAAAAATGTTAGTACAAACTCCAGGTAAAATCAATGCAGGTATATTGATTTTTATTTAATAAAGTCTTAGTTTTTTATAGATTGAATATATTTTCAAGATCACAGTAAGAAAATTGATCTGAGTACTTTATACTGGCAGCTGTGATAATTGAATGGGGCCACTATCAGCCATTTCCATTGTTTGGAAAGTGCATGAATCATCCTGTCAAACAAAAAAAAAAAAAAGAAAAAACCAAAATCGCAACAATAACTTCATATCCATGACTACCGGCATGCCATTACATCCAGTACAATTCAGATAATCAATATCCTGAGAATTCCATAGTTCCATACTGTCAACTATTAAAATTTTAGACTTACTAGGTATTGGTCATCATCCCTTTCAGTAAAAGCAGTTATACAAACCAACATTTTCAAGTAGATTCTTTTTGAAGTTAATGTGGCACCTGTAGGAAAGCTAGGAGAAAAATTACAATAAAATATAAACAAAAAGAAAAAAGTGAATGACAAATGAAGACCACCACCATAGAAGCAGAGTATAGAAGGTTTTCCTTCAAGATTTATTAGCACACTTATGGATACTGTATATTAGAAATTTGCAGTTAAGAGGCTATAGTATAGTTCAAGGAACTTTTTGAAACTGAATATTTTATAAGATAAAAAAAATCTTAAGCATTTTTGAATTCTACTTTATCAGCATTTGTATTTTGTTAAAGGTATGCAGATTAACCCATTGGGTTGGCCCCAAAATGTTTTTGTCAGATGGCAATAGGTAAATTTCATTTCAACTGTATTCAGAAGGATTACTTTTATTGTACAGTGACAGCTCATCAATGTGCAGCCTTTTTAGTGTTTTATTTTAAATGGTAAAAATAAAATCAGTATTGTAATATTTTCTGTATATCATGCTCTTTAAGAAAATTAAAAAGCAACAAGATTTTTGCAGTTTGAGATTAATGTGTTGGAAGCTGTGTTGAATGATGCTCTCAATGATCTGGTAAACTAGTTGAGAGTGATAGCCAATAATACCTAAAACAAGCATTGAAAATAATTTGCATGATCCTGATTGTCACATGTTTCCATATATGTGGAGTGAGAACTATTGGATTGTATACAATTTGAAATTATATAATAAGCATAGCTTAGATGTGGCACAAGGCTGCAAGTATGGAGCTCTTAATGAGGACTGAACTCACCACTCATTTGTAATTGATCAAGATAAGGTGGCTCACAATTACACCATATCAAAGTGCTTTTTATATATATATATATATATATATATATATATATATATATATATATATATTGTGTATAAAAATGGTAATGTGATGAATGTGTGGGGCAAGGGAAATGAACTATTAACTGTATCAAAAGCAGGTCTTCAACCACGTATTGTGTAATTGGATACAAATCCTTTACTATAAACTTTTAGAGAATTGAAGTCAAACAAGTAGTTTCCAATTACACAAAGAAATTTAAAATCTACAAAAACCATCTGGAATTAATTGAGAAAATATTTTATCTGGATAAATGATAGACATGTTTGGGAAACAGGAACAATTGTTACTGTTTAGCTGGGAGTTTTCACTCATCTACCATATTTAGATATGGCATATTCAAATCATTACTTTTGTTTTTACCATATTCTCTGAAATGTTTTGGGGAAGATTGCAAATGGCATTTTATTAGTTCTTTTCAAAGAAAAATTAATGTTCTTGAAGGGTGGAATTATAAAGTTACATGAAAAATGGAACAAAATGGTAAATATGTCTAAATTTATGAAAGTTTTTGATTTAAAATTTTACTTGAAGTATGGCCAACCCAATAGAGATTTTAGCTAAATATTCCAAAAACTTTCTTTGCAGATTAGAAATTAAAAGTTCCTGTAAAAGTGATTAAAGCATTTGAAGAGTTTTTTTTTTTAGTTTTTTTTTTAAAGTGGTGTGGTACTATTAGATTATGTTGCAGATGATCATGTAAACTGTTCAATTGGCATACATTACTTATTAAAAAGTGACAATTTAGAAAAGACAAAACCCTTTAGAATCTTTAATTTTTTTTTTTTAACTTTCAAGAACTGTCACATCATACAGCCTTGTCAGACAAGCACAAATGAAAAATTTTCATACTAAGTTTTAAATAGAATTAAGTTAAGTTGTAGTATCTAATTTGTTACTTTAGTAGAGGGTTTTGCTAAAATTATTAGAAAGGCTGAAATAATCTGCTTAGATTTAAAAAATATTTATTTTAAATATGTAAGCATCTAATGAAATCCACATAACTTTATAAAAGTTAAAAACTAATAAAATCCTGAATTTTGCTTTCTCATGAACAAATTAAGTCTTTAGATGCAAGGTGGCACTTATAGATGCATTCACACTTTCAGTGATACATTTAGAATAAATCTATAATAAAAACAAAAACAGCTGTCATTTAATTTTTTTTCCATAAATGCTATTTCCAGAATTTATGCCTCATTTTGACATTTGATTGTATGGTATCATTTTCTGGAGAAAAACAATTAGAATAATCATAGCAATAGATAAATCAACATCCAAGTTGGACAATCTGAAATAGAATATTGTAATCTGCAACCAATTGTTATTTTTACATTTGTTATATTCAAATGCTTGTTAAATGCTTTCAAACATTTAAAATAAAAATGATCATACCCAAGATATTTTTTGCTTTGTTCAAATATAGTACAGAAGAAAAAGACAAACAAGGTGAAAGTAATAAATATTTTATTTATGCAGTTAGTAAAAGCAAAATAATTTAAGATTTAAACTAAACAAAAGATCCATTGAAGAAAGATGGTTATTTTGGCAAGTTTTCATTCTCAGCTGCACCATCTTTTTTCTACCATGTCACCTATAGTTAAAACTTTCTAAAACAGTAATTCATTTTCTTAGGCCTTAAATTGAGAAAGTGTTTACATCTTGACATGTGAGGTTATAATTTTTATAAAACCTGTTAATTTTAGCTGTTCATTTTTCAGACTAACTTGCCATAGATTTGTTTAAAGTAATCTTTTCACCTAAAACTAGATAATTGCTCAGAAGAAATAAATCTAAGTTTATTATTTATCTTTAATGCCTAAACAAATATGCCTTATCACAACCAATAAATGAAGTATTTATGCACCTAGATGACATTTATTCAAATGGCAATTATTTTTTTTAGTTATCTATTAAGTACCTTAGCCAGAATATTTAGTAACAAAATGCAATCACTTATGCTGAATTTAATTCCAAAGTAATATTTTAACAGACTAGAATTCTGTAGTAAGGTATTTAAAAAAATTACATTTGGAAAACAAGACAGTGTCCTAGTTTATTTATAAAAATCATAACATTATGCATCTGATTGTTATATTTTTTTTGCATTCATACCAAATTTGAGATTAAGATTTTTAAAAATTCTTACACTTATCTACAGACAAAGTCTGTCCAGAAAGTATCTAGCCTTTTAATATAGCCACCAGCATCCCTTTCATTTTTCAAAACAGTATGCAAAATCCTCTTGTGATAACTTATCTGCCTTGAATGCCCTTTAATCTCATCCAATCCAAAATCTCCTTTTCAATAGCAATTTTAACAGAAAAGAGAAGAGCCAAACCTGAACTGTACAGGAAAACTGACAGACCTGAGTGAAGTGAGGTTTTTGCCAAAAAAAAAAAAAAAACCAAAAAAAACCCTGCACAAAATGTCAAGAGGCAGGTGCATCATCATGATGAAATTGCCAGTCACTGCTGCTGCAGTTTTCTTACTGCATCCCTCAACTGGCAAAGAGGTTCTATATAATACTCATGGTGAATAACATTTGCATGATAAATGTTAAAATTTCTGCCTTGCTTTTGCATGTGGAGACTCAGATGACTTCTATCAAAGAACAAGCATTTCTTTGAGGAACATAAATGTAGGTGTCTACAGATATGACAGAAAATTTGGCCATTGTTAGTGGTTTCATGTTCTGTACAACATGGAATTCTTTCAGTTCTGAACAGGAGCAGCAAAACATTTTGCTGCCATACATTTCATGTTAAGATCTAGAACAGGATGCAGATTCCCCAGATTGTCAATCACCAATTTCCTTAAAGCCTATAACATTCAATATTTTGTTGAATGTTCTGCTTCTTGAAGGCCTTCCAGAATGGATTGCTTTCAAATGATTCCTGGCTAAGTTTGAAGCCTCAGTACCAAAGTTTCATCTAAGCTTGGCTCATTCCTGACAGCTTTCATCATTCAAATAGTGATCTACTTCCTTGGTCATCATGAATGCAATTATCACAGTACACCATCTTAATAGTAGCTCAGTGCCGAGAGTAATCCCACATAAGTTCACGCATGCACAATATGCTCCCCTCTGATTGACACCCTGGTTTGAGATTCAGAATTATACTTTCCGGACAGGCATTGTATGCCTTCTACAAATGCTTTCATGAACTGGAATTTGTTCATGGAAAAAGAGATTTTATCATGTAGGTTTGAACTTTTGCCAAGTGGTTGATATTTTACATTCAAATGCTTTCTAAATATTTAATGAAATTTACTTAGAATTTACTAAAGTGACTTTATAATTTATATAGTATTTAATTTAAAATGCTGAATTAAGCGTTTGATTTCAGTAACCCTATTTTCTAAGTCAACCTTAGAGTTAATTAGAATTTGATATGATAAACTGAAAAAGTAAGCTTATTTCCAGTTATCTCTAATAATTCAGTCATAAAATCTCCAGAATTTTAAAGTAAAGCACGTTTTCTTGGTCTTCAATCAGAATTGGATATGTTATTTTCTTTCAGTATATTTCCAAATGTTCCTTCATGGCTTGGTGTGGAACTCAATTTGAGTTTCTACACTTCTTCAAGACTCATTTTCACAAGGCATTCATTTCTTGGAGCTGGCATCTGTCTATTTTCCAGTTTTTTCTTTGTACTTCGTTGCCTTGGCATAAAGCTGAAAATAAAAGAAAAATCACTTCCCATAAGTACCTCTGTGTTTCAAAAGTAGTTTATTCTTTTGAAGTTATACCATACCAGCTAAATAACAAAGGACAAATGTATTAGAATGAATGAATTTATTGTGTCTTGGTAAAGTTTTGATTCTGATGAACATTTTACACTTATGATTTCAATAGCTTTTTGTAAATTCAGATATTAAGCTTCAATTCCTTTTCTAAATGGACAAGCTGCTATAACCTTAAGCTTTCCATTGGTTTTATTTGTAAAAAATTAATGCTTTAATATTAAATTGAAATGAAAATTTTTCCAGTAGTGACTTTTTAAAACTAAGCATGAAAAGGCTGCCATCATCACTGATTGAAATCAGTCATTCTAAGTAAAAATCACTTCATCAAAAGTGAATTATATTACCCATAAAAATCAAACGGAATTATGTTCATCTGGTAACCACATGTGTACAATATAAGAGTTTGATAAGAATTAAAAATATTTGATACCTCTGGTGAAGTAATACCCAGTTGAGTCAAGATAAAATTTGTAGTACAAACATCTTTGTCAGAAGTGGATATATTTTTAGCTGGAAAAAAAAGATATATATTTATCATGCACACACACACACACACACACACCATAATGAATGAGACCAGATTTACATACTAGTACCGTAAAGATGCCACATGTTAGATATGAAAATATACTTTAAATATCCATGAGTTCAAAGATTATTAATGCTGTATAATCATGGATTTAAAAATATGTAGCATTAATATGAATTAAAGCATTGTCCTACAAAAAGCTTAGAATATAGTTAAAGTTAAATTTATTAACAATGGGCATCATTATGATAAATGTACTTATATTACTGACTTTAATGAAATTTTCATTTTAATAGTTTTATACAAAGTTCTCAGATTTTAAAATTGATGGAAATAAATTGATAATTTAGTCTGAAAGTAATAATTGCAAGAAGTTAAATGATCACTGCCATTAGAAGTGACAAGTCCACAGAAATTAAACTTGTGGAATTTATGAATATCAATTAAATGGTGTAAGCAAGTGCTTTAAGTCAATGTGCTAAAATCTCCAGACTTAATTTGATCTACATTTAACCTGTAAAAGATACTGCTCAAATTGAGAATTAAGATTGTCAGTGAGTTTGGTTCCCACCCCCCAAAAGCTTGTAAACAAAAGCTGCCATATTTCAAAAGCACACCAAAAATTCTGGTGTTAAAGTTCTTTGGGCAGTAGCTATAGCTTTTGACTTTTAAAGATCTTATTCCCAGAAAAAATTTAACAGTTTAATTCTTTCATATCAAACTTCAGTTGACAATTCATGCAGAATCTAGGTTAAAGACCTTTTTCACCTGCTTAATACATGATGAAATCTGTAATATTCAGTTTTTGCATAAATTACTTTGTGAATTTACTTCAGCTGATTGAAATTCTATACCATGTATCTGTGCCCTACACTCTTTGGAATAGAACCTCTTAGATTCTGTATGTCAAAGTTTCAAATATAACATGTTTAGTACTATTACAACTGTAGTATCAAATTAGAAACACTTAAAAAAAAAAAAAAAAAAAAAAGTGACCAAACTCATGACAAAAAGAACGTTGGTTTTAAAAGTCTTCAAAATTCAACTTCACATCTGCTGTATTCGTGTTTGATACCTGTAACAGAGACTAATTTTGCTGTGAAATGCAAATTTAGCTTCTGAATTTTTTCTTTAAAACCTTTAGAACTGAAAACATTGAAATAAAATTTTGTTTCACACCTGTATTCTTGTAGTGGTAATCACAAGCAGATTTTACCAGATATGCTTGGAAATGATAGATGGCAACACATTGAAAGAGGTGATTTTTCCATTAACAAAATATACTTATTCACAATTTATATGCAAATTACATTTAAAATTTTGCTTTGCAAATATAGTACATCAATTTAACTGCATGGTACTAATTTGAATTACAATGCTTTGAAATAAAACACTCATTTTCCTATGAAGGTTTAAGTCTACATGCACAATTCAACAAATTCCAGTGCTTACATGAACTAGAATTTAAGACAGGGCTGCCAGATTGTTACTTTTGAAAGCTCAGTACTAAATTTTGAATTTCACCACTTGCAACATTTGAAGCTACTTAGAATAACCTGGGCTACTAACAATACACTGATCTTGTAAATGTAGTCCAATTTACTACTTGTAGTCCAACCTGGCAATCCTGGTTGAAGGTATTGAATGATTTAATTATGGTATACCAACCTCTGTAGGTTATTTAAAGTGGAAGAATTTTTTATTGTAAAAATCACTTTTGCATGGAAAAATGTTAATTTGTTCTAGATGCAAGTCCTATTTGATACCTTACTGGAGAGCAGAGAGAGTCATACCTTTCTCAAGGGTATTTATGCATAAGTGAATGTAACTAATTTGCTTTCCAATTTCTCATTTTGAGTTGCTATCCATTACACTACCTGCACATTTCCAGGTAAAGGTTACTTAAGGTTTGTATAGGAATGATTCAGTTTGCCTAATACTTGACTTTTCATTGAAGAAATGTAAATACCATGTAAAACTATTAAAATCTGGTTATCAAGCTTGCTTTTCATTTGTCAACTTACATTGTCATCAACATATATGATCTTTGAGATGGGGATTATATCTTAGTTGTAAGTTAAAGACTGAAGATGGTATAAGTTGTCTGCTTGGAATAGTATCTGGATAAGGTTACAGGTTTACTTTATAGTAATGCACTTAAAATACATTAAATCTATCTTTACAAAAGTCAAATCATTGGTATACCACAATGGTTGATTGAGAAAGGAGCAAGCAAGAGTGAGTACTTGGATAGACTAATACAAGAAATAGCTTTTTGTTCACACAATGGTAGCCAAATTTTTACTCCTGTCAACCTTACCAAAACCAATCAGATTTCAAATATAAAGTTACAATGCTAACAAAGGTGCTAATAAATATGAGACTTCAAAGAATTATCAAATAGTATCACTAATTATGCCAAGTTTTAACTAATATAGCTATCAGTTATCTAATTACTAATAGACATTGAAAGTTATTTGTAAATAGTGGAATTTTTCAATTGTTTAAATCTGAAGCTTAGTTTCAAGAGGTCTTTAAAAAAAGATTAATGTAGACCATTACTTTTAAGACTTCATTTTTAAAGCTAAAATTTAACTTTATGTATTTTCTTTAGTTTTGTTTTTAAATTTCACAGTCCATGCAAAATGTTCAAAGAATTTTGCCGCACCATTGATAGTGAAAAAATGTGTCAATAAGATTAAGCCTTTTTGTAGTAGTACCTGCAAGAGTGTAGGTTGTAGCAATCCCTCAGTATTCTCCCTTGTTGTAAATTACATGAAATTAGTATTTAATCTCAATACTAAAAGTGGTTGCAAAGTTATATTTGGCTTTAAAACAATTTTCCTTATTAGAATTCTAAATTATTCCTTTTATATTTAAGTTTAGTCTTTATCAGTGGATACTAACATTGACAGTTCAAAAATAAATCTCACATGCCTAGAACTTTACCAGTGAAAAAAATCAAAACCATATGAAAACCATAGTGTTTTTTGAAATTGCTAGATGACAAAACTGATTTTGACATTCCTCAAAATTTGGCACGCACAGTACCAACAATGTATTGTAAATAAAACAGTGATATTGCCGTGCTAGTTATTTTCTTAGTTATTAAACTTAACGTATATGCCAGAAATTAAAGTTGAAGCTAAACAAAGATTACGGAATATCATTTTTCACGATTGTATTAGTTACTTAAATTCCAAATAAGTTTGTAGAATCTTCATGTAAGAAACTGCGAAAGCAATGTATTTAAATTACAATTACATATATTTTCCCCTCAAGACGACTATGATGGAATCTTAAAATTCTGTTGGCGGTTTACACGAATAGTTATGATTTTTAACTCTTTCACATTGAGTATTCAAAATTTAATTGGCTAAAAAAGACTTATACGGCGATACGCAGTGCAAAAGTAAGCAATAGTAACACTGACGCATGAGAAATCCCCAGTGAGTCATTCACTTCTACTAGCCTGTTTTTAAATGTAATAATGCTACATTGACGCAAACGTAACAAAAGTAAACATTTGGAAGATTAAAGTTATAGCTTTTCTCAGTTCTTGGAATTGGTAAAATGTTGAAGATTGCTTGAAAAGTTATTCACTCATTTACAACCATCTATTTTCCCACGACTCTTACTGAACTTTTAAAAATGTTTCTTTTAAACAAAATGTTTATCGTGCATTTCTTTTAATTTTTTCTTTTCATCAAATTATTATTGCAAAACAGTGTTAAAACATTAGATTTTATAAAATTTATAAAAAATAAGTTATGTTTATAACTGTTCGGTTTTCTTAAAATGATTTTCCTCGACAAGTTTCATACGCTGAGATTCTGTATCAAACTGCGAAGTTATTCCAATACAGGCCTCATTTAACTTAAGGATCCGGTTATTAACATTAAGAACCATAAAACTAAAACACTGCGTGCAATAACCAAGGTATCAGGAATTTTTTATGTCAAGAATCAAGATACAGCCATAACTCATTTTCAACGGTTCGAGAAATATTTTGTTCGTTTCTGAATTTATTGGTCTTTACTTTTGATTTAGGTTGCAAAATTTCGTATATAGAGAAAAGTATTGCTGATTTGTTTGGAGGCAAACCGCACTGTGTAGTTATAAGCGAGATTGTTGGAAAGAGTTGAAAAGCTTTGTCTTAAAACTACTGATGCCACGTAGGTAGAAGCGTTAATGAAGATTGCAAAAGTGCGTTCGGTTAGACTCATTACAGTAACTTCATAGAAAGTATAAACCGTATTTTTTAAAAGTGTGCTCCAATTTGTGCAAGAACAATGGAAAGTGTTTATACCATTAATTGATAGATTTCGCCCTCAACTGGTGCTCCAGATCCCTCCTCCCATTAGTTGAAGTAAATTAGTACAGCTATTAAGCAGCTGAAGATTCTCGCAGTGGGAAAAGAAAACATCCTTAAGACAAAGGGGTTTTATTTTTATACCACTGAACGTTTTACATCCAAGAAAAGCAATGAATAAAGAAAGACTAAGTGTCAACCAAATCAACTTGGAGGTAACATTTTTAGTCATTATCAAACACTGCACACATTTTTATGCAATACCACATGTCTGCGCACGCACATTGATTTCCAATTTCACCCTTTTTAAAAAATCGTACTGGTATTGAACTCCAGAAAATAATGCTTACTCTTGAAGCGATTTCATAACCCTATCGACAATGCCGTTAAAATTGTGAACAATCAAACTTGGGCTAAGTGTTGAATTGTAGGCTTAAAAAAAACCTAAACCGCTTAGCGGTTAGTTTCTTTAATGGCTGTAATCTACATAAAATCAGATTATATACAATCTGACATTCTTAGAAACGTTTTTAGAGTCGATAAGTTCAATAGGAAATTTACTGTTCTGAGGTAACCTATACTCATAGTTCAACATTTAAAATCTCATGGAGAAGGTCAACATTATTTTCATTATTCAACGATACCGGGAAGGAAGAGAAGAAATAGTTGCTTTTTAATTTTTAATTGACAAATACTGTTAACTGAAGGATTTATAATTTTAGAAAAAAAAATTGTCTCTAAACTTCATAAATTTTCAAATAACGTAATCCACTTAATCACGAAATGGAGTTAAAGATTTTTTTTAATTAAAGATTTCAATTTTTGAAATTAAATATCTTGTTCGATGTAAAAAGAAAATGAAATGAAGCATCAATCAATACTCAATAATAGTTACTGACTCACTCTATATAGTTTCATTTCATCGCTTACAATAGTAAGTTATTGCACCATAAAACTGCTAGCTACATTAAACAATGCGTTAAAAGTCTTTACACTGACATGCGAGAATTAAAAAAAAATGCTCTTAATGGCTGTATTTTTGATTGCATGTCGAGTGGGGGAGTGTGATGTGGTTTGTGTATAGCTTTTCAGCAGTAAAGCATTAAAAATTGTCACTAGTTTGACTAAATATTGAAACAGCGTATTATTGAACAAGTTACATTACCGCTCCTTAAATTTTAGTAAATTAAATCGAGATTTCTATTTAATGCAAATTTTTCATCAATAGCTTCGTGTTCCTTCGTGAGATTTTATTTTTTTTTCCTATGGAAGAGAGGAAGACGATGTGCGTGTATGCGGAGGGGGGGGGGGGCTAATAATAATAATAAAGACATGCAGAATTGGATATGGTTGGTTATCATGAAGCCATTGATTTGATTTAAAAATTAAGTCTCATAACAATATAAGATTTTCATAACTTCTTTATGAAAATCTTATACATTGTCGAAAAAGCTAATTATCAATGGAACTGAAAAAAAAATCAATTTCCTTTAACGAAACTGATAGTTTTAAGAATTTTAAAATAGGTTCTATTTTTTTTTTTTTTTTTTTTTAAATATCAGAAATAGGTAAATTTCAAATTCTAACATTAATTATTTATAGATTTTTCTCTTAAAGGCTTCCTCTGGTTGTGTAGTATACAGATACTTAAACGCCACTTTCTTTTTAAGTTATCCTCTCTAGATAATCACAATCTTCTTTGTCCCTTTCATGCGCCTGAAGTTAAGATCAGTTTTTAAGCAAGAAAAAAAAAATTAAAAGTCAAATCATTTACCTGTTCCTCATTTAGGTTCGTCATTGTAGCTGGTATTTTATAATATAGCTAAAGAAAGAAAAAAAAGTATCTTAATGTGAAATTCTATTTAAATAAAGACTGCCACTTTTTTTTCCCATTCAACGAATGCTTTCTTTTTAGCTCGTCTAAACACGCGAAGCACCCTGCTACAGTTTATATAATGTGATTGGTTTGGACCATTCCATTACTTTGTAGGGGTGTCCAGTTTAGTTTAAAAATTAATATTTTTAATTTAATTCAGTAACTTATCATTTATTCACCTGCAGTCGAGTAGATTCTTTGAAAATAAATAAATTAAAAACTTAATATTAGCCATATGTGGTTATTCAGGTTATTTATACCCACCTGCGCCAGGGCACCTCGTTGTGGTGTAAGAGTTAATGATAATCTGGACGTTTACCTTCAGGACGTAAGCAATTATGGCTCTCCACAGCTTCCATTTTTATTGCAATCTTCACTGGGTATCCCTTGTGCCAAAAACTAAAATAAATTTAGTAAATAACTGCCTACCTGCGCAAGGAATGGTTTTTGGAAGTCTTTTTTTTTAGTTTTAAGTTTTTTATCAATTGAATTATTATTTTTTTACTTTTAGTTTTAGGAAATCGTCACGAAATAAGAGTTCTCCGGGCGGTATTCTAATTCTTTTTTTCTTGAATATAGAAATATTGGAACAAAATAAAATAAATAAATAAAGTATTTAAAGTGACGCCTTTATTTTTCTTAAAGCTTAATTATACACTTGCTTGAGTTCTGGTTTCGTTTACTATATGTAATTGTACGCCAACTCCTCGAAATGAATTCCGGCTAGTCTAACACGCTAAACTTGTTTTTATGATTAGATATCAGAATTGTACTTCCAGGTGCTGTTTTTATTCATAACAATAAAATGTTTTGAAACACTCCTGCCCTATCACATGCAATTTACAGACGGCACAGGACAGTTACAAAAACAAAACAAAAAATTTTTTCTTTTCTTTTTTTTTTTTTTTTTTTTTTTTTAATTATTTGCAGCATAAAATAAAGCTTCTGCTTAGTCTTACATTTTTTTTACAGGCTAAGCAGCGACGAGAGAAAAAAATATAAAGTATTTTTTATTGTATTGGACTGTAGAAAGAAAACAAAAGCTGTTAGGCAAACGATAAATAAAGGACAAACTGACAATGATGCACACTCAGAGCAAGTTCCAGAATTTATGAAAAAGTGCTGATACTGATCTCTTAAATTTTGTTTAAATTATCTCTGTGCAATCCTCATATTAGATTCGTTTCATAGCTGACTTTGGAGAAAAAAGAAAAAAAATGAATATTCAAATCAAGTATTAAAATTAGAATAACTTAGATAAATTAGAATTATTTAAACATTATTCGAATTTAATATAATTTATTTAATTTTTGAAAGAAAAAGTTATTTAATGAATTAGCAAAAATTCATGCATTTTATGCATATTTGTATCATGAGATTAAAAAAAGGACACATTTTTAAACTTTTATTTAAAAAATAATTATTGATAATAGGATAATTACATTTATTTAAAATAAAATATAAGTTGTTTTTAGTGGTTGTATTTTTATATTATTTAGTACTTCTTTTACACTGGGTATTTTTAAGAATCTGTGATCTTAAGTGCTTGATTAATTTAGACATCTTTTATTTTGATCCTATTATAGGATTTTTTTACTTTATGTTGCAGCTAACTTTATCCTTAACAAGTGAATGTCAAAATATAGTAATTTACTAAGCATAGCTTATGTGACACAAGGGAGCACACACCTGAATATCAAAATAAGTTGAATAACCTCGCTTTACCTGTCTTTTAAAGTTAGTTCAGATCTCAAGGAAGGGTGCCAAATGTGACAAAAAGCAAGTTATAGAAACAGTATAATCTCTGAACAAAATATGTTTTGTTCACAATTCTTTCGTGGTTAAGGCATACAGTTGACAAAGGTTGGAAAATAGTCCACCTGAAACGGATTAAAAATGACAAAGGTTAGAATCTATCCTATATATATATATATATATATATATATATATATATATATATATATATATGTAAAACGATAACAACACACACTTTTAAGATTTAAAGCAGAAATTGATGTTTTAAATGTCAACAATTGGATGTGATCTTGTTTCTTGAACTTAGGTAGTCTACTCTTACATAACCTTTTATAAGTCTGATGATCCAAAGCATTGGTAACTGCTAATTTAACAGTCGCATCAATTATCCTGCAGTAGATCATGGTAGTTATTTTGTAATAATATTTAGATTTATTTTTAGATTCTTGATTCTGTCCTATCAGTACTCAATTGATTATCTCTGAAACTTTGATTTTACATATATTTTTTAATTTTGGTGAAATTCAAGAAAAATCAAAAGCAATCTTAGTCAACATTATTAGCAGCCTAATACCAAGTATAAGTTCTTTCTGTTTGCATGATTCAGAATTTCCACCCACCCCATAGTCCAAAGTTTTGTAATTATAAACTTTATGAAGCTACCTCTTCTGCTTACAAATAAAATAGCTAAGCTTTATTTATCTTTGATCTTGTAACCTCACTTAATCACCAATTTCTTAGTAGTAAAATATAGATTTTCTGACTTTCAGTTTAGTGATCTAATCACTAGTAATTAGTTTATACATACATACTTGTGCATATGCCACATACACCATTGTATAAGATGATATATGCACTAAAAGCTGTGAGTAATTTTCAATTATTCTGTAAATTTATAATTTTTTCAGACTACTGTCTTCATCTTTGTTGTTTTTAACACAGTATTTTGGCCAATATATTCTTTGTTTTTTATGCAGATGTATATTACACACATGCTTTGATGAAAGATAAAACATGGTGTTTAAAACAATGAAAATATAGGAAATAGTCTGAAAAATATATGGTATAATGAAAATAATTCCTCTGGAAGAAAATAAATGTGAAATCATTTTTCATGAAATTTTGTGTGTAGATTTATTATAAAAGTTTTATTTGATACATTTTAATTTTATTATTACAAAGATGATTTGAAGGTGCTCTTTTGGTTAGCTTTGAAAAAATAATACATAGATTTTAGTTATATGCCTGGAAATGTAGCTTCAGCTTTTTTTCATGAAAGTTGCTGTTAAAAGTAGATCAAACACATTTTTAGTTGATGACTTTGAAGAGTATTTTGAATTGAACAATAATGTTTAGCAAAATAGACTCGGGTAAGATTATACTGATATTTTTAGACTATTTTATTTATTGTAGCATAAAAATGATCTCTGCACATTCATATATTAAAGCAATTCAGCACAACTTATTAAAAATAAAGTGCACAGTTGAAGATAGTAGTAATTGATAAAACAGATACATACATCCACATACTGTATATAAGTATATATCTTTCTTTTATTTATTTCTTATTTCATCATAATTATGAATCTAATTATCATTTCACAGAATTAAGATTAAATTAGCTAAACTTTTCATCAGAACTGATTGAATGAGTTCATATCTCAATCAATAGGTGTTTCTTAAAAAATAACTGCATAATTAGATAGTGATTTTCTAAGCCCGGCTTAGATGTGGCACAAGGCCGAAAGTATGGGGCATCCAGTGAGGAGCGAACTCACTTTTCAGTAGTAACTGATGTAGCAAGAGAAGCTTGCTAACCATTACCTCATGCCGAGGTGCCCAACTGTATAATTAGATAAGTGTGGCAGGAGACCACGTAGGAAACAGAACTAACCTTTCTTTCTCTAATAATAGTTGATTTAACATATTTGTATATAAAATATAAACATTTAAACATGAGTAATTACTATAAACTTTCACAAAATACTGAATTGGTTCCAGGAGCAATTAATTTTTCTTGAATCACTAAGCAGAGTGAATTTATGAAGCATTTTTCTTATCCAATTTATGAAGCATTTTTCTTATCCAATTATTATTGATATTTAGGTGAGAGATAAAAAGTTGTGTTAAATAATATTAAGGGAAATAACAATTATGAGGGATGCTGAAAAGTTCTTGGCCCAACACACTTCTCAAAATCTGACCAAACATCATATTTTTCTTTGGTCAATAACTTTCCAGTTTCTATCTCACAGATAATCAAATCACAGTTAAGCAATAATTGCTAATCTATTGCATCACTATAATGAGGAAAACATATATTAAATTAAAATTGACTTATATTTATCTAAGTGTCAAAACACATGACATCTAAATAATTGTTTAATACTGTACACCTATTACCAGGCTTCTCAGAATTTCTGTTTTAATTTTGAACTACCATATTTGATGGCATATAAGATGCACGGGTGTATAAGACACACTCCAATTTCAGCAGGTCATATCAAGAAAAAATTAGTAATTAGTAAAATTACTAAACCTACATATAACATATAAGACTCAGGGGAATTTTAAAAGATATTTTTAGTAAAAAAAAGTGCGCCTTATGCCATCAAATATAGTAAATTGAATTGTGAAGATACAAAAATACATCTGTAAATTTTAGTTTTGATTAAACAATCATTTTATATGAAAAAAAAAATGCTTATCAGTGTACAGTATTGATCTAAAAGCTTAAAATTTTGTATTAATAATTAAAACCTTTTGCAAGTACTATATAGTTATAAATTAAATTCATTTACAGATACAAATTACCTGTATATTTCTTGTATCAATTTTTACCGGCAACATCAATGCTTACCATCATTAGCCATTATAATTTAAATGTCTTTATGATTTTCATAATTTTTTTGCTATTTTATAACTATAATTATTATAGCTCCTATTGTTGTTATTGTAGTATATAGATATTATTTTTGTGATACTAATAGAATGATTATTACAATTACAAATCTTTATTATAGGTTTCTATTGTGTTGGTTATTTCCCCTAGTATTGATTGTTGTAAATCTCATTGTTTTTTAAAGCTATTATTTTACTATTATGTTGACTGTTCTTATTGTTATTATTTGGGTATACTGTGCTCATTTTGTAG